TTTCAGCGTCCAGGTGTCTCCCCCGTCCCATCACAAGATATATGGGCCTGTGCTTATTGAGGCGCCCTGAGTGCGGAGTCATGAGTCGCTGAGGATGGTGCTACAAGAGCAAGAGGCTGAAGCATTCAGGTACACAGCAACACTCAGGGACAACAATACCTCCCACGCCTCAGTCAAGGGGATGACAAAACAAATGTGCTGGAAGGATACAGAACAGTAGGCGGTGGGATGCAAGGCGGCCTTCAGGACAGGGACAATGATCACAGGCATGAACAGAAACTAACAGAAAAGAATGCAGGCGGCGATGAACACAGGTGAGCTAACAACAACTAATGGATATGGGAAATACAAACAATTCAAACACTCATCAAAACTGGAAGGACAAAGAATATCCCATTCTGACCCATCAACACTGCACTATTGAGTTCACAAATCCCCGCGGTGCAAACAACAAAAACCGCCCCTACAATCAAATACCAAGCATATTCGGAAAAACTGGCATTGCCACGATTGTTACATCAAGCCTGAGCCAGAGGCTCTGCTTGAAGAGTCCCAACCCTTGCCCACAGCACACCCAGCAGGGAACCAACACAACAGGGCTGCACCGTTGCCAAAAGGTAACAGCCAGACACTGCAACCTCACAACAATGCACTCCCTCACAGATGCCACTGCTCAACAACTGCCAAGAGCACAGACGGCCGGCATGCCCGTGAAACACATGGTGCAACAACACATGCTGAACCAGACAGTACCATCAGTGCTGCTGAGCTGGCCTCTGACTGTTGAGCAATCTGACCCAACAATCACTCTGACCTACTCGACCCACTCAGCAATCTTTCCCAACCTGATCATGCTGATCTCTGACCGCACACATCACAGAATGTGACTGTGCCCATTGCCTGTGCACAACACGCTCCCCAGCTCACAGCAACATAAGCCCAAACTCCGGCAAGAACATGACAGACACCCGCCCGATCGTGATCCTCAACACTTGCCACGTCCCAACTGGACAAATGCTATCAAGGCAGATCACAACAGGCCACACACCAGCCCCAACATGCACTGGGCATGCTGCTCAAGGACACGGCCAGCACATGCCTCAGGCGTCAAGTCCAAGGGGCCTCGAAAAGGATGCTGTGGAGCCCCTGGACATGGTCCCCTCCTGCAGTGCCCGCTGCGCCGCCTCCACCATCACCCTTCCCACCCTCCCCCGCATAGCTGTGGTCACTGTGGCCCCTGAGTGGCACTCCACGCCCCGCGCCAGCATGCAAGTGTGGGCGGCCTGGCATACCACCAGCACGCCGCTTGGCACCAGCAGAGCCTCCAGTGCATCCGCCACCTGGTGGCTTATCCGCTCCTGCACCTGCACCCAGATTGTGTGGTGTGAGATTGCAACACAGAGCAGTGGGTACTGGCTGGACACCGAAATGCAAAATAGAATGCAGCTCAAGTTTGTCAAGGCATTGTGCCATTGCCTCATGGATCAACCAGCGAGCAGGCACCTGATGTGGTACAAAATGCTCGTGGTGGCAGTGGCAAATGTCCTGGCATCATCTTTGCATCGTGGGTTTAACACGCTGCCAAGAGTTTCAGAGCGAGGCATGCCTGAACACAGATTGCTCCTTTTGGTTCATTGACAAGCCCGTGATGTGCTATGTGACTTTGTGTTGCTCCGTGCTGAACGTCACAAGACTATTGGGTCAGCCCATTAGCAGCACATCACAGCACCACATCACACTTTCGCAAGTGGAACCTAAGAGCAATGGAAGAATGCGTCAAGCTGCTGAGACTAAAGCAGTTGACTAGGACGTCAACCATCTGTGTAACACTTTGACAAAAGCAATCAAGGTAGAGTGCAGCCTGTCAACACAACCTGCAGCCGATGGGTGAAGGCATTGACAACTTCCTCCACTTGCTCACGGGTGAGGTTCAGGCCACTCTCCCCAGCCGTGTACGCGACAAAAATGTCACCATAAAATGGCAAGAGGTGGTGCTCGCATGTGGACCTGAACGGGAAGCACCCGCCCTCACACAGCCTGCCAGGCAGGTTGAGCAACCAGTGGCCCTGCCCAAGTGGCCACCGCCCAGAGCCATCCTCAGTGGGGATGGGGTCCATATCCATTGTGTAGCCATTGTCCACTGAGGGGGGTCCTTCCGATGAGGTGGGGCAGTTGTGGGCTGCCACCCCTGACCAGGCAGGGCCATCTGGGAGCTGCACCTGGCAGCTGCACAGCGCACTGAGCCGCTGCATCTCTGGGAAGTCTTGTGTGGTGGTGGACTCGCTGGAGGTGTCGATGCCTGTGGTGGGGGTTCCCTGGCAGCTGGGGGCCTTGCGCTCATCTGTTGAGGATGGGTCATGGTGGGGAACAGGCAGCAGCTGGCTGTAGCCTGAAGTGGCACTCAGCATGTGCCTGGCGTAGTTCTTTGCGGCAATGGTCAGTTCCTGAGTTCAGTGACATAGCACAGGGATCATTATGCTTTGTGTACTGGGCACATTGTCATGCATCACAATTTGGACCCCTGGTGGCCACCCTTTTCCCCTTTGCAACGAATCGTTGACAGTCACTACACCTTTGATGGCGGGATGCGGCACAGGTCCACAAGCATCCTGGTAATGGGCGCAGCAAGAGCAGATAATCGTGCCTCATTGGCTTCATGAAGTTCCACCTCTTGACTGCCCAGAAACAATGGAGCCTCTCCACAACCTTGGGAGAGGAAATCCCCATTCACAGCAGCCAGATGATTCTGTGGAGCAGTGATGCCATTCAAAGACATCACCAGCTGCAATTCCTGCAAAACAGGTCAACACCACAGCCTGAATCAGCACCTGGAAAACAGGCCCCACTTACTCAAATTAACATTGCTGATACCAAAGGGAGGGTTTCGGTCGTTAGTTGCAGAATGGGGACCACAAAAGCACCCCTGCTGCATGTATTGAGCAGTTCATTGTGACAGAAAGGGGAATATTTCATGCACACAGCAATTCCCTTCTTAACAAACGGCTTAGTAGAGGCTCCCTTGTATCTCAGAAAAGGCAGAAATCCAAGCAATGCACATCCCAAGTGAAACTGAGCATCCAATGAGGCACTGCCAAACGGACATTACTAGCACTTGTTGAATGATCACGGGCCTCGACGCCAAATCATGAACAACGTGGAAACCAACAACATAGGTGCACAAGGTGCCTGCCATCGCCTCTGCAGATGCAAAAGCAGTAGCGTAGCCATGCTGACATCGGCAATTGGCAGAGTTCCGTAGGGCTGCCATGCGATCCATTGATGTGGATGCCATTTTTTATTGCGTTGATGCTACAGTGGCCAGATTGCCTGTCTATTTGCACACAGCCCATTGACAATTGTCATTCATTGCTGAAAAGCACCAAGACCTGTGGTTTTGCAGTGTGCAGTGTTCTCTTTTCACAGTGTTCATTTTTCATTTCCCATTTTTCACAGTTTGCAGCACCAGTTGTCGATTCCAAACCTAGCAGAGTTGAGTTCCTCACACCACATCATATGCATGAGCGCAATAGCAACTGTCGCAGTGGAGAATCACTCAGCAGGGCACATCCCAGCTGCCCATTAGGCTGTGACCAAAGTGCTGACGAACTCTCCAGGCATCACCAGTACATGCTGTGGAGGCAGTTTGCCTGTACCCAGTTGAACCTTGGCATTCCACTCTGACAAATACTAGGCAATATGCAACTGCCAGAATTGCCAAAGTGCAAATTCAACAGCACGCTTGTTTCCATGGATGTTCACCATCATCTGGCCATCTGGTGTCCAAATCCACGGGCAGGGAGACATGCATTCACAAAACTCCCCCTCCAAATCATTGCATAAGATGGTATGCTGTTAGCAATCTGCTGACTATGATCCACTGCATTCACAGCACTCCCCACAGCCAACTACTCACGTGGCCCATTCTTTCATATAGGCCCTGCCAGTCCTTAATTGCTTGCTGAACAGCGTCCGCTGTTGCATCTTCATTTTCTTGGCTTGCTAGATTCCAATCCCAATCCAGCAGACCAAACCACAGAGCTGCAAACGCCCAAGGTTGCCCGACAGTCACAAGGGCAGCGAATCATCCTGTTTTGTATACTGCAATCAGCACTGCCTGATGAAATATTGGGCAGCGATTGTTGGTGTTTAATTGATGTAACAGCCCAACAGATGAAAACGGGGAGACGTGTAATCTGTCAGCAATTGTGGTCGCATGGGCTCGCAGCATCCCAATGCCTTTGGTCCCCAGGCGCCGCCAATCCCACGACAAATTCTCTTCCTTCAGCAACACATATTCCCCCCCCCCCCCGTCCCTACCATGTTGGCCTCTGAGTTGTCTGCAAAGTCCCCCAGGCTCGCCCAAGTCGCCCTGCCCGCCCCCTCGGGCCCGGACGCCACGTGCCTCGCCTCCACCACCACGGCCACGCCCTCTGGCGCCACATGCCGCCTCATGGCCTCAGCCAGGCCATAGGTCAGTTCCTCCTGGGACTGGATCCGCCTGGACAGCAGACGCACCAGGCGGGCCAGCTTGCTAAGCCCCACGATGGCGCCGTTGGCTGGGGCGTACATGATGTGGCAGCGGCCATGGAATGGCAGCAGGTCGGCGGAGGAGAGGGAGGCGAAGGCGATGTCGCGCACACAGACGATGCCGCCGCCGCTGGGGGCGGCCCTCACGGTCGGCTCGTGGAAGAGGGCGGAACCGAAAGCCCTGCAGGGGGCGACCGAGAAGCAGCAATGGTCGATTCAGGAGTGGCCGGTTTGAGCTATTCACGGGACGTGCGTGCCCCTGAATGGGAGCCCTTTGGAACAACGACGCCGCTTGTGGGGCAGCGCGGCGGGAATCCTGGCAAGCTGGATTATGTCCCGGTTGTTCGCAAGCCCGTGGGATTGCATGAATGGTTTGCGCCCATCCAGTTGACTGAATTCCCTCAAAGCTGGACAAACCGCAGTGGGGTCGCGATCAAGTCGCGGGACGGGGTAGCAAACGTGGAGGGGATCGACTGCCGATGGGCGGGGACCAATGGGGGCCAGGGCCGCGCGATCCCAGGCGCTTGGGGCGAACTCACTTCGACGGGTCGGCTCCGCATTCCGACGTCATCTCCACCCATGCCTTGGCCACCCTCTGCAGGCACACCGCACGATCAGCGCAGCCCACCAAAGCAACAACAGCCCGCCGCAAGCGCAGGCGGCCGCGGCCCGCCTCAGACAACCGCTGGCGGCGACAAAGCAGGTGCTGAGTCGCCCCACACAGGAAGATTCACCACTTCAACCAACCGCAATCAGCGTCCAGCCAACAGCAAAAGCTGGAGAATCATTTGCACGGGTGAGGCCGCCGCTCGAACGCATGGGAGCGCCATGGCAGCGTCTCGAAGCGAATGCAGAAGATCTGGCCGCGCCCAATCACCTCCGGCGTGTCCAGCAGCCCCTCTCGGCCGACATCTTCGCCCAGCTCGCGCAGGAGCGCCCTCACGGTCGCCCGCGCCGCCGCCGCCGCCGGGCCGTCGCCGCCCATGCCCCTTCTCGCCGCCGGTCGCAGGAGCCGCCGACGGTCGGCCGCGGAGGCCGGCGGCTGCCCAGGCTCGACCGTGAGGGGACAGTGTGGAGAAAGGAGGAAGCGGGCTCCTGCGTGACCATTGCTGGTGCCTGGTGACGCGAGTCCGCGTCAGTGGCCGGGGGTTGATGGGGCGTTCGGCTTTCGCGCCCAGCCATCCAAACGGCCGGAAGGGGCGGAAAAAAGACGCAAGGTGATGAGCAGGCCCATCACCCACCTTGAGAAAAGGTTCGCCGATTTGAGAGGTTGAGAGGTCAGGGTGCGAGGGCGGTGGTGGGCGCGTGTGGACTCTTCAAGCGGCTTGAGGAGAGTGCGGGCGACTGCCAGGGCCTGCGAGCAGCGGCGGAGGGATGGCGGGCAGCGCGAGCGTGATCCCCGGACCGCCCTGCCATCGACCGGCCGCCCCGCGCGCCGCCTGGGCGGTCGGCGATCGGCCTGGCGTCCGCCCGGCGCGCGTCGCCCCCCGAGGTTTGTGTTCGCGCCGATCGATCCGGCCGCGCCGTCATGGGCGTGTGGCGGCGGGGGAATTGAGGTGCGGTGTCGCTGATGCGATGCAGGATGCCGCGCGCAGTGGAGCCGTCGGCGAGGCGGCGCGCAGCGGGTGGCCGTCGTCTGCAGGCGGCCTGCCGCCCTGCGGGTGAGGCCGATCGCGATCTCCATGTCTCATCCCGGGAGTTGATTGCGTGTTGTCGGCCGATTGCGCATCGGTGGCTTTGCGCGGCCTGCCTCCCCCTGCATTGCGGCTCTGCGTTTGTGACAAGGACAGTGATGGCGCCTGTAGTCGACGCACTTGTGTGCGGATCCCCTTACTGCATCAGTCCAATGGAGGCGAAACACTCCTCTGGCACCTGCAAGGCGATGTCGGGCACAGGCCCGGGCGCAGATTGTGCGGCATGCGACCGGCATGAACGCCGAAGTCGAAATGATCGGGGTGCGCTCGTTGAGCTTGGGTGGTGCGGACTCGTGCACCCAGGTGTACGCCTCCGCTGCTCAGAAGCCGCTCAAGGTGATGATTGCGGGGCCGCCGGCCGCTGGAAAGGGCACGCAGTGTGCTCGGATCGTGGACAAGGTGAGGTCTGACGCATTTCAGTGGGGCTGGGGCTGTGATGCCAGGATGACCCCCCCCGTTGCCCACAAGGTTGATGATCTTGACAACCCAGGTGCAGGGGTTGTCCAACTGCTCTTCTCCCAGTTGGCGTGATACGAATGAGTTTACAACGTTGCTTTTGGTGCAATGGGGCTCTCTTGTTGTGCAAACTCCATCTTGTATAGCGATTGCATTGGCTTTGTCTTTCCTGGCTCTAATCTGTAATCCTGGACGAACGATGATCAAATCATGTACAATTCTTGTACGTCACTGCAGTGATATAGCGTTTTTGCACCACCAGACCAGCTTGCTACTGACAGAAGGAATAAGGAATCTTTAGCAACCCATGTGCAACGCATCTCACACCAGCAAAATTCAAAGTAGAATTCAAGAGCACTTTGCATTTCTAATCACTATCCTGGCAGTCAGAATGTATGTGTTCAGCTCAAAACTGTTGGAGTCAAGCAAGGGAAAAGTCAGAGGGCCCTGAGAATCTACACATAGCCACAAGAAAGGGTGCATGTCCCAACTGTCTTAATGGTGTGCACCACATAAGAACATCAAACTGAGGCTTCGAGCAACATGCAGTGCTGCTCATGTCCTGAGAACATACATCAGAAATTTGGAAGCCTTGAATGGCATGCAGAAACACAAGCAGCCGTCTGCGAACAAATTTGCAGCCTAAAATTGGCAAAATACCATATCAACAAGATTGATGGACAAAACCCATATGCAGAATTGCTTTGTTGATTCCAGTGCTGAGGCAATCAGGTCAGCCTTCAGCATCTACGAAGAACGCAGAAAGAAAATCCCTGTTCGCTGAATCTGAGTGTTCCACTTCAGCAAAACAAGGCTCAACATGCAAGTCACCCCATGTAAAAGCATTCTCTGTGGCTTTCAGCAGCAATGTGACTCTATGGGCTGGAATCTTTGCATGATTCTGTACATAGAGAACACAGTGGTCCCATGGACCGATTTTTTGTGGTAAAGTTAGTGCATTGAGGATTCAGATATTACCATATGTAAGCGACTTTTGCTGATGGACATCCCAGATAATGTGTACAGCAAGTAGTCCACCTTATGACTGGCATGTGCCATGCCATTTTCACTGGCTTGAGTGGATTCGTTTCACACTGGTCGTCAACTGCACAGGAGCAGTGACTTGCCATACTCTCTTAAAGGCAAGTCTAGGCGAGAGCAACAAGGCATTGCAGCCCACTGTGCTGAAGCTTTTTTGCCTGTATCACCAGCTCTTGGAAACTGCAACTCACACAGACCCACGTCCAAAAAGATTGGCATTTGAAATAATGGCACATTGGGTAATGGCACTTGTTGGCAGGCAACCAAATGTTGCTGTTGTACCCCAGATACATGGTGGTTCCACAGGAAGCAGCATCGTAGCTCCATATCCTTCTCAAGGTCTCTGATATCCATGCCCAGCTTGCGCATCTTTGATGCATCAAACCTGGGACTGTCAGCCCCCTGAATGGGCTTAGCATTGCCGACTGCAACCCCAGGCAAGATGGAGAAAAGGCATACCCCTCCCGTGGTGCAACCCAAAACTGGAAATTCATTGAATGATTGGATGTGCCTACGCCCTTCATCACCTCAAGGTGCAAGAGCTTTGGTTTTCTCTTGTTTGTGGATAAATGCAGTCATGTAATTGGCGCATGGACTGTGATCGCACTCAGTGAGTGGGTTTCTTGATGTTGGGCGCTGTGGTCATGCAGTACGGGTTGGCACATGTCTGCGTGGGTGATATCCTTAGAGCGGAGATCAACAACGGCACTGCTGCCGCCGGTTAGCCACGCAATTTATGCTCGTACCTGTCGGCGGCAGCATTGATGGCGTTCCCGCCACCGATACAACCTATTGGCCGGAAGTTTATCGAGAAGGAGAACATCCGGCCAGATGTGTTTGTGCTCATCGAGGTGAGTGTGCAACTGTAGTTGCAGCAACCGTAGGGACAGGACAGGCAGCGAGCGCCAGGCAGAAGTCAGAAATGAAACTGGAATGTTGCTGCCCAGTCTTGTTCATTGTGTGAGCACTGAGAACCCTCGCCCTGGGCAATCAATGAGCACGACAATGAATGGATGCCCTGTCTGTGCTTGTTTTCAGTTCATGATGGAGTGTGCATTCATCAAAGTTCCGTTTCAGCACAATGTGTCACCCTGCACGCACACGGCACTCTTGTACTTTCATGTTCGTCACGGCTGGTTTTGATCCATGCCTTCTTTGTTATGAACATGCAAGTATGTCTTTTTGCACTCAAGAGCTGCTGCTGCCTCCTCTGCAATACCAAGTATGGGCAGCATTCATGTTCCTGTTGCCTTGAAGCAGTGCTGCTAGACTATCAGTGAAAAGCAGCCTTTGGTTTTGCCCTTACATGGTAATAGTACAGCATCAAACGAAATGGGACTCGAGGTGTTTTGCATGCACCACAGCTGCAGCGGTTAGTGCTGCGCACTGCAGCACCAGTTACAAGCAGCACACATATAGTCGCCCTCAGGCTCAGGCGCTACAGTACAGGCTGCAGGCTGGGTGTGGTGTCACCCTCAGGTACTGCCCTCAGGTACCGCAGTCACAGTACTGCATTCTTTAGGTTGCGGCGCCAATAATGGGGAGCACTCACGTTGCTGTTGCCTTCTGATGTTGGTGTCGCCAGAGCATTGATGTTCATCGCTGCAGAGCTGGTTGTATGTACTGTGAACTTTGGAACTTGGATATTGCTGGGTCTAAAAGTTTACGCAGGAAAAGGATCGCTTTTTTCTCATTGCCCAAGCGGCTATTGCAGCTATTGGCTGTGTTAGGCATGAAATGTATTCCTTGCTGCACTTCGACATTCGTGTGTGGATATTCTGGCTTGTAGCAACACTGGAGTTATCTTTAGGCGCCAAAAAGAAATGGCTGTGAAGAAATGGAAGCAAACATGCACCAGTTCGTTGCTAATGCTGAGACTGATGCAGAGTGTTATCGAACTCTTGTCCTTTCCACTTGTAAGGGGCAATGATGGTATTGCTCTTTGTCAGGTGCCTGATGAGGTGCTCATTGAGCGCGTTTCTGGCAGAAGGTCGGATCCTGAGACAGGGGAGATTTATCACATGACCTACAAACCTCCTCCTGCTGATATAGTGGACAGACTGGTGCAGAGGAGTGACGATACTGCCGAGAAGGTGTGAAGGAGAAGCTCCTGCAGTCCATTGGGCGCCGAAGCAATTCTCTTTGAGTGTACAGTCTTGTCGCACAGCAGCTCACTGCATGCTCTTCTGTTGTTGGTACTTTTGCTTCTTTTGTTTGCAAACATGAATGATATTGTCCAATGTATGATTCAATCTATGATATTGTACAATATATGATTCAATCTATGATATTGTACAATATATGACGTGATGATGTGATACGAAACTGCGCAGGATGTGCTATTATTGGGCTTTGATGCACCTTGCTTGCACTTAGCTGCTGCAATTGTAGATGCCACACCAAATTCTGGCAGGCGCACAGTTGGAGTGTGCTACCCATTACTTTCAAAGTGAGAATATGCACATCGTGTTAGATCACATGAAATTCGATTATGGCATTGGTGACAAGCAACTGCTGTCGGTTGTCTTGCGTTGGATAAGTGCACCCACCCACAATTTTTTTGAATCTGGGTGATGTTGTTTACTAAGATGTTTGCTCCAAGTGCATTGTAGGCAAGGGCTCTGGGAAAATGAGGGACATATATGTGCATTTGCTGCAGCCCTAATGGATGTGATGAAGCTTCGTTCATCAGGCAACAAACCATCCAAACCCAATCAACCCCACCCAGCAATCATGCATTTGTCGCCCTTACCTGATGTGGGCTTGTCCTAAGTTCAAAAGTGCCTGTGGCTGCAGTGCCGCAATTGTTATTGGCAAACTTCCGCAGTATCACCTTACAGCCAACATGGGACAATTCAGCTATCTGCAAATTCTGTTAGGAGTGCATTTATCAAAATGGGACGACTAGCGCCCTTGGGCTTGCTGCATGGTTCCTACAGGTACTGTTCATATCTACGAATGCATGTTCCCAGCGTGTGTTGGCCCCCATTAGTACCTCAGCCGGTCATGTCAGGGGGATCTCGTATTTGTGTTGTGCCAGCGTTTCTGAGGAAAGTTTTCTTTTCTCGGTGATGCTGATGAGATTGAGCTGTGATGTCCTCAGATGGTGACGAGGCTGAAGACATACCATTCAAACTTGGATGCAATCACGGACATCTACAAGGACGTCACTGTTCATGTGAGTGTAGTTGCACTGGCGAACTCCACCAGAGGAGAGACGAAGGAAGAAGTAGATATCCTACACATGGTGCTAGAACAAAAGTGTTCATGTCACCATCCATGCTATGCCGGACGAAAGAAGACACGCGCTCGTGTCCCTTCACCTGCACTGGCGGCACAAATTGAGCATGCACTGCCGGGCGCTGTGACAGGCCGATCTGTAAAATCCGGAGCTTTTGACAGCAGGATCGCAAAAATTCTTGCGAACGTACTGCCATTCCAGGCAGAAAGATGCCAGTGGTTGCTGCCTAAGCTGCGTGCCTTCAAATCGCATGCAAATGCGACAAGCCAGCCCCTCGCACGTGTTGAGCGGTGTCGGCCAGCTGCACACTTGCTGGATTTCATCCTTTTGAGCTTTGCTTGCATCTTGTCAGGTTGATGGCAACCGGGAAATCGACGATGTCTTCGGGTCCATTGTGGATGCGCTGGAGGGCGTCCTTGTGGCTTGAATGGCGCTCTTAGGCCGCACGAGCCTGCACATTTTCACTCGTGCAATTCTTTGTGCATTCTTTCGAGATCAAAATTCCTATTTGAGTGGAAACCTCCCTCAAGACGGGCGGGATCGTCATTCTTGGCCACAACGTGTGTGCGAATTCGCATTCTGGGGATTGATGTGCTTAGTTGACTAACTTCCTCCCTCGCCTCGGCCCCTTGCACCTGTGCGGTTCTCTATGAAGGGAATTAGGCATCGAGGACTGGTGCCACCTGCAAGAGGGTGTTTGCAGTGCAGTGTGCGCTTCGTTGACACATCAGTGGGTGGCGCCTCTATCCACTTTTGGCCAGCACACTGTGGCCCTTGTTTCTTGCGGCCATGCGCGTTGCGAGGTTTGCGTTGTGTGAGGACGTTCAGGTGCGGACGCAGCGTGCAATGGCACGGTGACTGTTCCGTTTGTGCACAGGGCGCTGTTCTCCCTTAGGAGCGATGTAAGGGAAGACAATTTGCTGCAACCGCGCATGTGCGTGATGCGCACTTCGTCCATCCCCTTCGCATCTGCGAATTTTTAAACCTCCATTGGCCGTGCGTGCGACGGTCTATCTGCAGTCATTGCAGAGCAACCAACTGCCTTGCAATTGTACCGGGGCCGGGCAGCCCGGTGTCATCACAAGCTTCAGTCACATGCTGACAAGAATCCCTAGCCCATGTGCATTGACGCCAGGGGTACACAGCCATCCGCATCGTCAACAACGGCTCAGCGTCCCAAAACGTGATGGTGCAAAAACTTCGACGGCATTTCCCGAGTGCCAGAAGACGAATTGCCGATTCACAGCCCCTGTGTAGCTCCCCAAAAAATTATATTCCGGCGACATCTCGTCAAAGAACGTGCGAGCTCCAAACCTTGTGCAATTTCCATCGCCTCAAAGCCTGTGGTATGTGGCTGCAAGGGTCCGGGCGCGGGACCCAACCTTGGCCTCGTTGGCAACGGGTGGGCGCGAGTGGAAATTTTGCAGGAGCAGAACGACCGGTGTGGCAGGAGTTGGAGCGTTAGTGAGCCTCGTTGGAACGGGCGCTGCGCAGGAGTTGGAGCGTTAGTGAGCCTCGTTGGAACGGGCGCTGCGCTGGCACCACGCTCGAAAGATGGAAACCGGCGCCCTTTGATATTCCACCACGATGTACTTGCATCTTGTGATTATGTTCGGGCAATGAGGTGGCCGTCAGCTTCCTATTTTGCCTGAGCAAAGCAGACTCGGTGATTGGTTCATTGGAATCTAAGGAGAATACAAACTAAATGTATGATCTATGAAATTTCGATGCCTAGAAGTGATAATCGATGGTAATACATCAAACGAAGTGTGTTCGCAAGCTGTCGAGCTGGAACTGTAGCAAAGGGTACTTTTGCATTGCGACATTGAAAAATACGAGAGTGGCTTCGACGGATGGTGTCGTAGGCTTTGCAGTGGAAGAGAAAATGGAGCTCGTCTTCTGGTGCCAAATGGCATAACGGACACAATCGCCTTGAAAATTCTGGAATGGATTGTCTGGCTTGGTGTCGTTGATTCTCGACTTCCAGGAAATGCACCCCACAGCGAAAGCGTAGGAAGAAAGTCCTCAAGGAGATAGGTTGTAAGGTTGACAGGAATCGTTCATAGCGGTAGGCTGGCTTGATGTGTTTGTACCAAAGCTGAATTCTTGAAGAATGGCTGGTGAAGACATTGGCGATGTGGACGTGTTTGTATATCCGTTGAAAGGACAGTATGTCAACTGGTATAGCCTCCGTGAAACTGGGAGCCGGCCAGAATCGATAGAAGAAGGCAATGATCCGTCCATACCACGAGCGAGGAATGGTAGAGAATTGTTGAAACCCGGACTTGAAAATGGCGCCATGAACCCGGGAATTGGGTAGTTCCACCATTCGATTCCAGTATCGCATCAATTGTCTCCATAAATAAAATTCTAAAGGAAGTGCTCCCATTTCGGCGTATATGACCCCAAGTGGCGTATGGCCAGGAATGTAAAGAATTTGGCGAAAGAATTGAGTCTGGACTTTCTCCAACTGATGCCATTGAGTCTTCGTGAGAAACGCGCCCCAAATAGGAAAGGCATATCCAACTGATCCCAAAACATAAGTCTTGAATAGGTTGTATGCAATTTTAGGGCCGGTAATGCAACGAACACGTAGCCTTTGAAGAATTAATCCTGGAGCCCGGCGTGCCCTCCCCAATATAGCATCAAGATGGGGCTGGAAAATGATCCGACTTTCAAAAGATATTCCAATGCCTAAATAAGGCATTCTTGTTCTGTAAAAAATCATGATGATGATGATTATTATTATGTTCAGGTCGCCAATTAATGGGGCTCATCAAAAAGTTAGTGCATTAATGATATCACTCAGCTGGCGACCCGTGAGGTCTAGATACGGTGCAAAGAGGATGTCGACAGCCTCAGCAAGTTCGCCACACTGATCATCATCAAATTGCAAGCTCAAGGCACTCAGACTGCAGGGAGGTGACTTTGATGCCAAAGACAGATGATGGCAACTGCATCATATGCCCAAACAATTTACTAAGGTACTATAAAGATGCTGAGCACAACGTCAATACGTGGCAGCGTATCGCACGGAGACACATGAGTCAAACATGCCCCGAATACGCCTTGGAGTACTGAGGAGCACCCAGGTTGCCTCTGGACACATGCGTTTGCTTAGGGGCTTCCCGCCTGGCGGCCTGCCGTGGACCACGCGTGGAGGCACCACGTGGTTGTTTGATGGGAATATGCCCCGTGGGGCATAACGTGGTTGCTGACCGCAGGAAGTGTGGTTATTTGTTGGGAATGTGGCCCTTGGGGCACCATGTGGTGGCTGATTGTGGGCGGTGGGGCGTCCTGGGTTGAGTTGTGGTGAAGCGGCAGGCGTGGCAGAAAGATTCCGGGTATCAAAAGAGCATCTCCTAGGAATGGGGGTATTTGCCAGAGGGTCGTGGACAGCGCCGTAGGGGAACTCTCTATTGTTGCACTCGGCCTGGCAGCTGTAAGAACGGTTGTGCGGCGTTTGGGTGTGCCTCTCATGGCAGTCTAGGCACTCAGCCTGGCTGCCTGACTCCCCTGGCCGTGTGTGCAACGTTCGCCACAGCCTGAGCGCAATAGCGCTCGACCTTTTCGAAGGTCGCGGCCAGTCTGGGCCTTGTTTTCAAGGCGCTGCCTTGCCGCTCAAAACCAACAGTGCCAGCGGGGTCATGCTGCTGGCCAGAAGTAACCACCCTTCATCGCTGCACAGCTTTGTCGAGGCGGAGAGAAGCGTTTCCGGTGCCATACTCTGACGTGCTGTGGACAAGGCAGCCCTGACCCATGGACCTGACCTCCGTTTTGACATCGTCGACCGTTGAGGAGCAGTTGCGACCGGTTGTGGCGCTCAGAGCGGAAGCTGTGAGAGGTTCTACAAGCGTATTTGCATGGCTGGCTGGCAATTGGGGGGGTTTGCTACCCGTTTGAAGCTTCCCCTTGCCGTCGTCACTGTTTTGTTGGTCGTGTCGGCGTGCCAAGCAGTTCTTTTGAAGAGCCGGTTCGCGCGAGGGGCAAATCTTGTTCGTTGAGTGCACCCTCAACTATTGTGGTGCTGAGGCTGTCGACATGGCTCGGCTGCTCGTTTGAGGGTGACTTTGCTGCGCTATCTCCGGGGACGACGGCCAGAATGGACCGCCATTCTTTGCAGTACAGGGCGGTAAATCATACGGTGCTGACTTTCGCCGTAGATGTACACACACGTGTACATTGGCTTCAGTGCAAATCTGTTGAACTAATTGACAATTACACGATGCACACAATGACATGTTTAGTGGCACATTAAAACATTTTGCAATACCATGGTATCCGCAATGATTTCATAGATTTTTCTCCAAAAAAGATATGTGAAGTAACGAAGACTGCTGATACATACAATGAGGCAAGCGGTGCCCTATTTAAGGCAAAATGACAAAAGGTCGTCCTCTGTGACAAAAGCGGGTCCCCTGCGGGGGTGCAAATGACAAAAGGGGGGCCTCAGAGCGCCCTCCATACATAAGAGGCGCTGCCCGTCCACTGCCGGTCCACTGCCGGCCCGCTGCCGGCTCCCGGCCGGTCCGCTGCTGGTCCACTGCCGGTCCGGCGCCAGACCGCACCGCGGTCCTAATAAGGGTGGCTCCACAGAGGACCGCCCTTTGTCATGTGCACCCAGGTGCACGAAAGGGGGCCCTCTGCGGGGGCCCCCCGCTGAGGACCCCCTTTTGTCATTTTCCTTATTGGGTTTTTTGGGTTTTTGTGGAGTGTTCGCAACGTCATTTGAATAGCCACCCCCATGCTTGGTGTATTAAATAAAAGCGAGCGAATGGCCTACATGAAACCACGTGAAACACTATGAGAAATGACCTAATCATGTTGCCACTACGAAAATCATTCAAAACCGATTTTGCAGCAAAATGCCGAGAGGTCCCCTTCGAGACCAGTTTCGTTTTTGGAAATCTTTGCCCTCTTGACATCAAGCTTGGTTTTTACGACGTAAAAACTGATCATATTTACGTTTTACGCGTAAAAATACGTAAATACAAAGTAAAAACTGCCTGGTGTACATAAGGACAGTGAATACAAACTTATGGAGTCCGGAGAGTGGCAGCCAGACAGCCTGAAAGGGGAGAAAACGAGTTTTTGTTAAACGCCATGATCGCCGTTGCCAAATGCGAGGTGGACATTGTGTTGCGAGTGCTGGAGATGGCGGAAGACTCATCATTGTACGCAACTTTCATCATGTAACCTGGGTGTCCCAGGGAGCCGTAAAAACGTGAAAATAGCCGTAAAAATAGGCCCTTTTGCAAATTTACGTTTTTACGCATGAAAACGTAAAAGCGAAAATGTAAACATAAACGTGAAAACCAAGCCTACTTGACATTTAGTTGACTCTGGATATTCCAAAAAGAAAATGCATGTTCACCTGCCTGAGACGAAGAGGTGAGTGTCGTTTGAGTTTCTGAGCCTGTGCTCAAGAAACCAATGTGACCTGCGTGAGATGCGAATGTATGTTAACAGCATGCATAATTACTTTCAGCGCGATTCTTGCACTTTTTATTAGCGACTTTGCACTGAAATTGGAGCATGATGGTTGCTTGTCATCATGAGATCCCAAAAGAGTGCTCTGTGTTTTCTGATGAGTTTTCCTGCATGTCTGATGATGGAGACGCGATGACCGCTTTGTACATGGGTCAGCAGGTGGCAGAAATATGCGAGCGAGGCCGCAATTTGCGATTGATGGGACCATCAATCAGACCGTCTGCGTTCCATGGGAAAAGGTCGCCGTTGTGATGAGATGGGGTGCATGCAGCGTATGTTTTTGGATAGTTCGTGCGTGGCAGGTTGCCATTCTTTGAACTGTGTTTCTTTCACTACTTTGTGACTTTTTTGGTGAAGCTCTGGTTCAGGGTATTTAAGGGACATGCCGGGTACGTGAGCACCTCATTTTCGTAGACTCGAACTGCAAGCTTTTGGTGATACACCCACCGCAGAGGTAGTCAAGAACACGACGTCATATGCGCCCACCAAATCCCAACAAGGGAAATGACAAAAGAGTTCTACGCTGGTAGGAAGCTGGAAATGGCAAGGGATATGCAGGCGACAGCCGTCAACATAACAGTGCAAGGGGTCGATGGGGTCATCCTATGCAAGACAAAGCGGGTTGATTGGCGCTAACATGCGGCCCCAAGCTGGTATCTGTATGCCTGCAAGCCCAAATGAATGCAGTACACGGCGATTGTGAACTGTGAGAGAGCATGCAGTGATTGGAGCTATGGGAGCAGTAGCGATCGGAGCTGCAGGGGAGGCCAAGTGGCGATCGGGGCTGTGGGGAGAGCTGGTGGCGACCGGAGCTGTGGTGAGACCAAGGGGGTTCGGAGCTACCTGGGAGATCAAGTGGCGATCTGAGCTCCAGGAGAGAGTCGAGGAAATCGGCACTGCAGGAGAGAGCATGCGGCAATGGCGAGCGCAGCCATGGCCAAACAAAGCAAGGGGTATAGGCTCAGCTAAATGCTAAAGGCCAAGGATGGTTTGGTGATTGGTCAGATGGCTGAGGAACTCTTGCCATGGCAGAGCCTCTCTGGGCAATTGCGAGTGCACTCGTAGCAACATAAAAGCATGGATGTGCAAGCAAATAGTGTGATTGTGAACGTGAACCAACTTGTGTGGGACAGCTATGCAGGATCTGGGGATGGCTTTCGATAATTTGTCACAACAGTTGTTGCATCCGTTTTCTAACTCACTGGCATTGCCTTCACTCCATGTGCTCCCAGAGTGGTGGCAGTCCACAGACCACTTTTACTGGACAAAAACTGTGGCAAATAGTGCGATTGTGAAATGTCAGTGGCATCCATACTAGTGCTGGCTGATAATGCCTTCATTTTATATGCTCCAATGCGGCGGCAGTCCACAGGCTGCTTTCAGTGGACAAAACCGTGGCAAATAGTGTGATAGTGAGTGCGAACAGAGTTGTGTGGGATAGTTATGTGGGAATCGGGGTTGGCTGTTGATGAGATATGAAAATGTTTGTGGCATCCTTACTGATGTTCGCTAACAATGCCTTCACTATGGAAAACTGTGAACACTGAGCTATGTTGTACAGTTTGTGGGATCTCTTGGTGAGGGTTAGGAATTTATCAAGGTCCTGTGGTGAAAATTGTGTGTTTTTGCTAGGATTTTAAGCAGCTGATTGAAATTCAACCACCACTACTAAGGGTTGGTGATAGCTATGAGGAGATAGCTGCGGTGTAGGATTCACAACCTAAGGTATGAGAATCCTAGCATCAAATACCTGAGCTCTTGAAATCCTCTATATCTAGAACGTTCAGTGTTAAAAGTTCCTATTGCCTTCTCTTGAAGGCAAACAGTGTTTGTGACAATGGGGGCATGATCAAAATGTTGCAGCCGTAGTTGCACATAGGTACTGCTCCTTTATGAGGCAGAAATTCATGAGGCAGAAATGTTCATCTACAAATTCACTCTCTGTGGCATTGATTTTCAGTTGCACGACCCAATGTTTACCTTGTTGCAATGCATCAATCTTCACCTACAACACTGCACACCTTTCCGACACAATGATATTCACCTGCACAAACCTACACTTACTTTGTGAGATACAACTCAACGCTGACACTACCCAAAGGTGGCAGGATGAAAGGCAAATTATAACCAAGGAGGCAATGGCGATTTATGAGAGAGGGAAGATTGCCAAACGCCTACATTGCTGCTCCCTTCAGCCACCATGTTGATTGGTTATGTGACAAAAACAAATGTTGCCAATGCAAAAAGGCACCAGGTGGACAACAATTGACGGAGTTGCTCTCGCTCATTTTGGGAATAGTTAGGACCCCTTGCCGTTAATGCCATCTGTGGCAAGGCACACTGGTGTCCTTGGTGATGCCAGTCAATGGTTCAACGAATATTTCCACCACATCTACAGAACATCTGCATATTTGGATGGCGATCAAGATCAGGTTTGCCTACCATTGCTGCACAATATTGTCCCTTGAGTTGATAAGGATGCTAATCAGGAGGGTGGTGTTCAGGAAGGACAAGCTTTACTTCCTGCAGTGAGGGATAGACAACCTGAGTGGTCCAAAAAGAGGATGATTCGAATAGCAAGTGAAGGTGGACAACCAAAGAAGACATATCATTGTCGGCATTGTGGTGCATCCAATCACAATTGAAGATGTTGTTCACAACTTTGAATATTCTGTTGTGATTCTGGTGTGATTTCTGCTCTGAATGTTTTGTTTGTTTATGAGCTTTCTGAATGCCCGAGTCTACAACTCACAAGCTTTGGTAGATGCGGGACACTTGTAGCACTTTGATTTGTCAGAGCTCCTTTGTAAAGTGAAGTCATTGGCAACATCTAGTTAGAAAAATGTCCCTTGAGCGTAGAAACCATGCCATACTAGCGGTTTTCACAACTGAGTTGTGAAAAAACACAATCCAAACAATGGCCAAACTGCCATTTTGTCAGTAGTGTGTGGTTGTGCTCTTTTCCGCCCTTTGTTCCCTAGGAGACGGTTTGGGCAGCCACCATATTCGCTGATACCCGGCCACACTGTCTATTTGGACCTGATGGGTCCACTGCCGGACGTGCACAAAGAGACCGTGGAGAAGCCGTTCTGTTACATACAAAGCATCGTTGATTCCGTGACGTGGATGTATGGGGCCACTGCTTTGCAGTCGATTGATTCGGCTGGGGCCCTCCTTGGCCTAGATCTTTGGGTCCAGGAACATGAGGATGTATCGGTGCTAGTGACAGATAATGGTCCAACTTATCGCTTTAAGGAGGTTGAGGAGTGGTGTGAGGAGCATGGTGTGCAACATGTATACATTGCTCCTTACAGTCACCAGAGTTTGGGACTGGTGGAGAAGATGAACAAGACTGTGGTGGACAAACTGCGCAAGTTTGTGCTAGCCTGAGGCCGTGACTGGGTCAGTCATTTGAAGCCTGTTGCGGAAAGCATTAACTTTACGGTTCACCACACTTCTGGGTACACTGCTCACGATTTGTGGAGAGGCACTGAGCTCATGAGGCGGGAGGCCCATGAGGCCTCGGTCGAGAAACGTGAGGCCCGGAACAAAACCCTGTGAATCTTCCCCAAGAAGTATGTTGTGGGTGACCTCATTTGGGGATACAACCATGCTAGAGAGAGGATCAGGAGGAACAAGTTGGTGCCTAGGTGGTTGGGACCACTCCGTATTCTAGAAGAAAAGGCTGGTCACCTATGGCGTACTGAGATGATGGCTCGTCCGGGGAAGCCCGGAAGGAAGCCAATCATGGTGTTTCATGAGAACATCATGATGCCTTATCCTTGAAGTTTGGGTGAAGTCCAAAGAAAGAAAAAAGGGAAGAAAATACTAGGTGGAAAGCACAGGGCTAGCAGGCAAGGGGTCATGCGCGGTATGTTTTCTTTGGAGTAGCGCAATGGAAGCATGGTGGGCCCATGTTCGCAACACCGCATAAAGATCCACCTAGTGCAATGGTGGTCATTATGCGGTGTTGCGAACAAGTCCACTTTATTTCTTGTATACACGCTCAGAAGCTCAAGCAACACTGACTCCTTTGTGCCATGTAGGTGAGCATGCATGTTTTTGAAATGCTTAAATTGAAGTAAACGTCATGAAAAGCAAACGATTTTGGAAGAATGCAAATTTTGGCTTACATGCCATCTCTTCAAATTTTGCCCTAGAATTCGTTTTCAATGAATTTTAAAGCAGGTACACAATCATATCGCTGCTCATAATGAGTCATGTATTTTGATGGAGACCAATTGCACTTAATTGATACACCAAAGGATTGGGGGTCATTTAAATGGCATCGCGAAGACCCCACAAATCCCTACAACACCCCCACAAGGGAAATTGACAAAAGGGGGTCCTCTGCGGGGGGGCATTTGACAAAAGGGTGGCCTCTGCGGGGTTGCCCCTAGTAGGACCAGCTAGCCAACCGGTGCTAGTCTGGCGCCAGACTGGCACCGGTCCGGCAACGCGTCTACTGTACAAGGGATGCTTAGAGGACCCCCTTTTGTCAAATGCACCCCTGCGAAGGACCCCCTTTTGTCAAGATATCTCACAAAGTACCCCCTTTTGTCATTTTCCCATGAATAAATTACAGCGATCCCACCAAGCGCGCCAGGAAGTTGGGTGGTCGCCAAAGAACATGGGCCACACATGACTCTCGTGTTCCAGCGCCTCGTGGTCGAGCAGCCCATGTGTGGCTTGCTGGACTGGCTAGTCCACGGTCAAGACACCCACGCTCAAACATACCAATTGGACCCAATCAATCTTCTTGAAAAGAAAAATATATCGCTCCTCTCCAACCCTCACTACGGTCGTCCATCTTGCCCAAATTATAAAGATCCACAGGAAAATCAAATGAATGAAATGTCCACTGAACAAAGGCTTAAGGAGCTGCCAGCAGGCACAGACTTCGCATTTGTGCGTGTCCCCACAGAGGCACCCCTAGTCCTCAGCGCCGTCCAGCAAGGCCAGCTCGGACTTGACCTCCTCCGCCCGCCGCTCAAGCCGCTCACGCTGGGCGAGGGCCTGCACCATGGGATCTGGAAGCAACGGTGGCACCGATCACGCGATCTGTGCGGGACCTCATTCTGCTAACAGGGCCTGGGAAAGGACGGGGCACTGATGCACACATGCATAACCACCCCTGGTCTCCAATGGGCTGCTTGGCTACCCTATTGTGAGCCATCTTTGAGTCCTTGATGGCTTGAGTGCAATGGAATGGAATAATGACCCCTGCTCTTAAAAGGCCCTCACTCTCTGGCTGCCAGTGGGCTCATATGCCTAACCCACACCTACTAACTTCCATATGGCCGCAGTAGGCCAAAACCCACTGTTTACATCTGCCATGGTGGGGCAAATTGTGCTCCTGCACCATGAGGTGCATGTTGGCATTGACACGTTGATGGCTCGCATCAGGAAATGAAAAAAGGCTCTTGGCTCTCAAAAGATGGCCATCCGCTTACCTGCGCTTCCGTTTTCCCAAGCAGCTGTCAATCCCCACCCACCTGCTGCCCTGTGTGCCGCCTCACCCTCAGACAGCAGCTGGTTGAGCACGACCTTTTGCCGCTTCACGATGCCCTCGAGCAGACCCTCCAATTCCGACAGCGAGCCATTGACGAGCCTGGCAGCAAGTGGGGACAGAGCTGAGGCCCTTGGCCATCTTACATTGCCTCAATGGTACAAGGACAGTTGCTTTGCCAGAATGGGAGACAAGCAGCCATAAGCCATATCGCTGGTTAAATCCTTAGGTTGCAGTTTCCAGATCTTGAGCTACAGTACGGAACAAACCATCTCAAGGGAGGGAGCGCTTGGATCAAGCCGAAGATTTGGGCCTGCTCTAACGCAGGTCCCTAAATGAAACCTCTGTATTTCAATTCCCTGTAGAACTGTAGCAACAATACAAGCGTGCATGTGAGGACTGCCCAAGGAAAGTGGGTAAAGAACCATACGATGGCTTGATGGTCTTGCCACCATTGCACTTCCAGTTTGTGTTGCCCAACAAGTCCGTGTCAGCATTTTATACGATTCCAGCCATTGCACTCACTGCAGCAATACACACAAAACATGGCAGCACTATCCAATGGCAGAACTGCGAGCATGTCATGCATTATTTGTTCTATGGCCAGACAGTACCAATGCGAACCTTTCAGCACGATGGCGATGTCAGCCAAATAGGTGGCATGCAACACTGTAGCATCGAATCAGTGTTTGTTAATACCCATCGTGATACCAGGGATGGCGGTAATGTCACAAAAAATGTAGATCAATGCCAAGTGCCGCCATTGGGGTTCGTGGTTCTCATCGGAGAGGAAAACATTCAAATTTCACAATCCTTCCCAGAGATATGGTTCAGAACGAACAAGGGATGAACACTTAGCAAGGCAACAAAAAGGCATCTCACAATACAGCAACCACCGAAAAAGTAAGAAAACACTCAGGTCACCCGTAAGGAGCTGAATTCACAGAACTGGATTTATCAAGCTACTTAGCTGCTTTTGCGGTTAAGTAGCTTGCATCGTGCAGTCATGGACGATACAGCAATCGCAGATTCGCCACGCACAACAGAGGCCAATGGGGTGCTGTCCTCCCAACTTTAGAGCAGCACAGATTGAAGTGCTGTTGGTTTTCTGAGGCCAGAAACTGCATTAACAGAACAAGTGTCTGAAAACGGGTGCTTGTTGTGCTCGTCACCTGTCAGTGAAGAACGAGGTCTCATAGGGTGCTGGTGAGGGACGCTTTCCCAGCAACTTTTGGCACTTTCTGTTCTTCAACGCCTATACAATCCAATGGAGCTTCAACACAAACACTTCAGCACTTCAACAAACACTTCAACAACTTATAAAGTTTGTTCCATCAGCAGATGGGGCACAGAATTGAGGAACCATGGTACTATATTTAGCATTTCAACAAGCGATGCGACGCTTGACCCTATTTTGCAGAACAGCATTAATAGTGACACGACACAACTCATGAGAAATGCTGAAGAGCAAAGCTCTCGACACAGGCCATGCAAAATTTGTCTGACGTGCACATCACCAGCATCAAGGCAATCTGGTGAGCGGCTCCGTCCCCCTATTGAAGTCGCGCTTGAGGGCCGTGGCTCTATTGCGAGGCCAAAGCAACAAGGCAGGACCTGCCAAAACGTTGCCCCAAAGCCATGGCTGGCAGTCGCATGCACACCAATGCGAACAACACAAGCTGGTATTGACTCACTACCAAGGGCGGCGCAAGTAGTCTCCAGCGATGAACACAAAGTTCGTGTGCTCATCGCATCTCAAGCCTCCCAGACTCTGCCAAACAGTGATCATGCCTGGCTATTCCCATCTGGCGCTGGTGTTTCATTGTGGCCATCAATGCAACCAAAACAGAGACGCATCGACGCTGCTCTCAGTGCTATCAGCATGTGTTCCTGCTTCTGTTTCCCAGTCAAGGCTGATGTGGAACGAAATAATAATGCGCAACATTGGTTCAGCACTTTGCAGAAGAATAAACCCCTCTACAAGTGGCAAACAGAATATGCTTAATGTTCTACAGTACATCCCCCTACAGCTCACAGTTGCTGGATCAGTGTTGCCAGCTTTGACAACCCTGAGCAGAGAGGGAAACACCCAAAAAGCAAGCACTGGACCTTGTCTTCTTGGTAGAGTGTCCAGGAAGCCAGAGTTGGAAGCCAGGAGTTTTCTGCAAAATTCTCTGTTGAATCAGTTTGAAAATGACCCTTCTGGCCTCCAATTCATTGAGCCTTGCTTGATGATTTCTGTGGATACATATTATTCAGGTTGCCAAGTGCCCACCACAAGGACCCATGACTCCATATTTTCTCATCGAGGGGCGTAGGTGTATTGATATGCATGTCCTGTGACAACACGCAACGGCAAAAGACAGCAAAAGCAACATTCTCTTATGTTGATTCTGGAGTCCAAGAAGGAAAAATGGAAAATCAACAGCAGTGGTTGTTGACCAGGGTGGCGGGTTTCTGGCAGACTCACCCTATGAGAGGTGGTGGTCTCCCCAGACACCAGGTTGACGGTGCTGGACAGCAGCTGGACCTGCCCGCTGCTGATCTCCTTTCCCAAATCCGCCCATTCCCAGGACTCTTTCTCTGTGTTGAAGTCGTACGTCAGGCAGTGCTCCCTAGTGAGCGGCCTGCAGTACATCCAGATGTTTCTCAACGGTCAGAAAGCATTGCATGACATGCTCGCTTTGCTTGCAAGCCAGTGACCACTGGATAAACTGCTGAAAGAATGATGATACACTGGTATGAGTACTGCTGTGCAGCCACCACTACATTCAGGCTGCCACGAGACCTGCCACAAAAGCTGACATGGAAGTGCTGTACATTGGGACACACTCATATAGAAACAAAAGAAAAGGATTGCAACAGCTCCATACACACCTGTAATCAGTGATCACAGCCTCCACCCATTGTGGGTCATTGTCCTCCCAGAAACATTCCACTCGGTGCCCGATGAGGGAATTCACCCCACTGGGACCGATCTGGTGCAGGTGGATGCCACCCACATCGGAGACTGGTGTCCCAATCGTGGATGTGGATGTGTTGCCATCGTCGTCACTGGCTGACTCATCGTTGCAGGGCAGTGGAGCTTTGGGCATTTTGGCCGACTGCCTTGCAACCTTCTTAGGAGGTCTGAAGAAGTGGAGGTGAGAAGGGCCAATTAAGGTGCAATGGCACAACAGCGTTGCTGCCAGTCTGAGTGCCCACCTTATCACCCTTGTGTGTTGTTCTGCTTTGATTGCATTGAATACATAATTAAACAAATTGTAGATTTATCTGATACAACTCAGAATCAAACAGTTTTTCACGGTAGAAAATGTAATTCAGCAACTCAACAACGGTCAAACAAAAACAAATTAGGCACCTTGTTCAACAACTATGCTGTCAACTTAATTCTATTCAATGTCATCAAGAATTGGGCACGAAAAAGAAGCCAAAGTAGAAGCACACACCAGCTGTAGGAAAGGCCTATCACTGCATTACGGCCTCAGTGTTGGCAGTGGTGGTGTAGACTCAGGACAATGACAACTTACACTGGCACGACTTGCAGGTCAGACAGGATCGAAGTGAGCTCTTGATGCAGCAAACTTGATCTCACTCACAAGCACTCTGCTGTCAGACCATATGTCAACATCTTCCTCATACACGATACTCACAGGTGGAGAGACAAAAGTACCCAACATGACACGTAGACTGCAGGGATTTGATGACCTGACAAGTTTGCTCTTGGTGCTGCAATCCGGACTATATCTACAGCCCCTCTCCCGCCATCTTGCATTAACAGTCCTGGTAATCCCTCTCTCCAAGTGGAAAGACGCAAGCAGCCTCAGCGCGTGGTGGCACCTGCTCCAGTCAACTTGTCGCATCGATCGCACCCACACAAATCAAAGCATCATAGGCCCTTCCTCGATGGCCTTGTGTGCTCAGCTGTACTTTGCTGCGACTAACAAAGAACAACACCAACCACCTCAATGCGTACCTCCTTGCTTTTGGGGTGTCCGGTGCCGATTGTAAAACTGGAGGGGTTGCACAACGCCTGGAATGTGGGGCTATTGTTGCTGCACTTTGGGCAGCTGGGACGTCAGCAACCGTCTTTGGCATACTCAGGCCCCTGAAAGTAAAAGAGCACAAGCTGTGGGTGTACATCCACAACAAAAGCATGGAGGGCACGACCAAATATTCAATTCTGTATAAGGACTGCTTTGTCCTACCAAAAAATTAACTAATAATTGCAATTTTGGGGCAACAACAACAGTTAGTTCAGTTGGCGAGAGAGCGCTTTGCTTGCAGTCAAATGGGGCCAGGCTATGTGCTGATCATCTCTCTCCTGGTCAGGATGCAGGATGTACGACACTCTGTCTTGCTCCATGGAGCAACAGCTGCACACAGTGTTCTGGGTTTCACAGGAAATACACAGGTAAAACAAAGGCATGCACAGTAAGAACAAAAGCAATGGAGTCAGCTGCAGAGGTGAGTAAGAAATGGTGCAGTGGACATATTTTGCATAGACCATTTGAGTCTCTTTTCCAAAGGAGGATTGATGCTAAAAAGGTGCAAAGATGATGGAAAAGTCTTTGCATGCAACCAGGGGGTGTATGGCAAACCAAAACGCAAGCAAGCAGTCACAATCCATCAAACAAAAGGTGTACACCTTTTCATGTGGTGTTCATGCCAACCAAAGGCAATGTGGCAATGCCCAGCAGCATGCGATCTGCACAGGAAGGCAGGCGCCGGTGTCGTGTGGTGCATAATGATACTACATGTATCCTGTGCTGACCTGCAAGCTGTTGGCTTTGTGCACAGGCGCCCTTACCATGGTGTCGAGGGCATAGGTTGTTGCTGCTAGACTGCATGCAAAGGTTTGCGATTCCAACTTTCAAGTTCCAGAGTTGAAACTCCAACGACGATTCATTTCATATTCTTTGTCAATACCTGCTGAGCTCCTTGATTTCTGGATCCTCAAGAACCTCCTCCAGGTACTTCTGCGCAGTGGCGGGGGGGCCATTGAGCTACCAGGATGGACAGAATAGGTGGGCTGAGGACCACGCACATTCGGGGCGTGCCGCGGGGTCTTTACCATGTGGGCATCCTGGGATATCTTCAGGGTCTTGCGGAGGCTGCTCAGCAGTTTGTGTTTCGACTGCAGGGCGACACGACACCCCTTCAGCAACTTGTGCCGCAGCGATGGCTTTGGGTTGACAACTTTCGCCGCCTTGTGATGCGAATCAACTCCCCGCCACCCGGGCCCTCCACACACGCCCTTCGGGGGCGTTGCCGTGGCCAGGGCGGGCCGGTTTCGATCGCAGGGCGCCGCGCCAGCGCGGCAGGTCGCCCAGAGATCCCGCATCAGCCCCTCCGTCTGGTCCCTCGATTAACACTTGAGCTCGGCGCCGCGCGGGAACACAGCGACGCACCGCGGGAGTCCGGCCGCTGGGACTCATCTTTCTTCCCCGCTCCCAGGCCTCCGGCCCAACCGATCGACGCGCAGCAACGCGCGCAAGCGCCCCGCCAATTGGCAGCGGCGGCGGCCCCGCTCGAAGCGTCGCCGCGAGCTCCCGATCACACCCCTGCCTTGCGGCCACCACGCCCCGCCACCGTCCGCGCGCACGCGACGGCCAGGATGCGCGACCGCCAGCCATCCGCTCCGCGCCTGTCGAATCCCCAGGATGACCTGGCGATTCCGGCACGTCGTGGGACGGGGAGAAGGGTGTTGGGGGTGGGGGGGGGGGCGTTGAAGTGGCGGCCCGGCTCACCCAGTCCAGCTTTTGCGCGGACAGCACCCGCAGGCAGTTCTTGTACGCGACGGCCTGGGACTCCGCAAGGGGCGCGTCGAACGGCATCGCGGCCACGGGCGCTGCGAGGCGGGCGCGGGGGGGTGAGCCGGCGGGGCGGCGGGCACCTCGTGGGCGCCGGGGACAGTAGGGCGCCTGCGTTGGGCGGGAGTGTCGAGATGCAGCCCCTGAGACGCGTGCTTTGGGCCTCCATGGCTCTGTGCAGACGGGTGATCAAGTTCTGTTCCGTATTGTGCGCATTTTATGCTACCTCTGTCTCAAAAGTATTGTCCGAATTCCTTTTCACGAAAACGAAGATCAAAACGTGCAAGTCAGAAAAATTGACCTAAACAGTTCTAACACTTCTTTCAGAGAGCTATCCATAACAACCTCGAACGTTGCAAACGGCCCAGTGGTTGTTGAGTTATGCCCCGATGTGCCAAGGCAGTGTTTTGGATGTTGTAAGCGCTTTGTCACTGCCATGGCGAGCTCGTCTCGCCTATCGAGAAAGGCAAAATCGGCTGAGCTGCTATTGGGGGAGCACTATGCCTTAGTCCTCAGGTGTGTGCTTGCAATCGGTGCCTCTAGCGACTGCATTCTATATGGGAAGGCACCAGAGATTGCAACCTAATTTGGAGTTTCGATGAAGACTGAGATGAGGTGATGGTACAGAGCTATGGAACAACTGGATCAATGCAATAGCATCGATCTTGGAGACGAGCCAAGGTCAGGACGGCCTTGCCTCCTAACGCTAACCAAGGGGAATCGCCGAGGGACGATGAGGATAGAAGAAAATTTTATTCAAGAAATGCGTCCCAACAAGTACTGCAATTGGTGGATAGACTTTACAGTCGCTGCCCTGGCGTGGAAACTTCTGGAGTACCGCCGCAGCGAGGGTGCGATAGGCAGAGATGGAAGATAACAAATCACGACTCGTACTATTCGTTGCCCGTTTTCATGTATGTTGAACTGTTGAACTTCGACGTACTATGTTGGAATGGTGGATGAACCTAGGGTATCATATAGATAGAAGAGAATTTCTGTGAGAAATGTGTCCAATCGAATAGTGCAATTGGTGGATGGGCTTTACACTCGCTGCCCTGGCGTGGAAACTGTGGAGTACCGCCGCAGCAACCCATCGTTATATGTGATACATATCACCCATTCCCAAGTATGTTGAGTGGCTCAATTGTGTTCAGAGGTGAACCCTTTTTGCCACCTGCCTCAGGTGATGTGGGTGTTTGTGTGTCCGCGTTTGGTATTACAACTATGCCAAACCCTTGCTGCAATGGCCGGGAAGACTTGCAATGGGAGTGTGGTACGCAGTAGTACCAGCCGTAGCAAGTGGTGCAGGATTGCATGCATACACTGGAACTTTACACACGGCTTGTGTGTTGTTCAGTTCTCCAAATCACTCCATGTATTACAAACCGCAGAATACATGACCTGGAAAACGCCCACACACATTTATCAAGCATGCAACCAACATAATTCGAGTTGCTGGAAAATGGAAACCCCTTAGCAACTTCGTCTTGACCTTGCCGTGGTTGGAAAGCAAGTACCTATGGGTAATAACGGACCAAAATTATTAATCAACGGATATTTTGTTATGGACCGGATGCCGCACACATCATCTGTTAATTTAACGGCAAATAACGGTGAAGAAAAAATGAGAGCCAGATTTTGCGGATGGCAGTACGGCAAATAGCGGATTGGATACTAGCGGACGAATATCACACTCAATTTTACCGACCGGACTTAATGGACCGGACGGCACCCGAGTGTGGCCACCTCTACTTATCATGTCTCTCTCCGCAAATATGGCAAACAGATGCTGTAGGTGCCTCTGTCTCCGCTGTCTCCTTTTGTGCGTCCGTGATCACGAGGTCTTGGTCCCAAATCTTTGAGCCCCTCCAGATCGGCTTGGAGAGCTTGGAAGTGCAGGTCCCGTCAGTCCTCTGGACCGGCCTGTCTGGGGCCGCACTAGTTTCCCTGCGGGTTAGAGGGTGCTGTCTGGGTTCCAGCACCCTCAATCTGGCTG